TATATATATATACACATATATACACACATATATATACAACTATTAGAACAAATACTCTTAAAGTTAAATAACATTTAATATTTGGTGGTGTAACCCAATGACTGCCTCAGGCCTGCCACCCATCAACACCAAACTGTTGCAGTCTTCATTTGTGAGGCTGCTCCAAGCTTTCACCACAGCTTCTCTCAGTTCTTGTTTGTTTCAGGGATGTCTTCCTTCAGTCTCCTCTGCAGAACTTGTGTTCATTAGTTATGTTGAGAAAATGTTGGCCTGTGATTTTGACTCATGATTGTGTTACCCTGTATATATATAGCCCAGTGACCCGCTGTCATATCTATAGTTTTGTATTATTATTATTATTATTATTATTATTATCATCGTCATGGTCGTCTTTGTCGTCGTTATTATTATTATTAGAGTTTCTTCCTTCATGTGAAGATCTAGTATCAGGGTTGTGGAGCGGAGTATTATTGTACATGATTGTTTTGTCTGTTTAGCTGTTGAAAAATATTTTTAAATGACCTGGTTAAAAMAAATTAGCATTGATTTTATTTAGAGATTTTAGAGAGAAAGTTGTCGTGTTTGTGTGACAAACGGAGGGGTGGGGGTGTGGTGGGGAGCCTAAGGCTGGGAAGGGCACTTCCTGGAGGTCCCTCTGCTGGCGGTTCTTGGTGTTGTTCTCTGGTTGTTGAAGCTGAAGGCAGTTAAAGGAAATCTTTTTTGTTCAGGGTAAGGGGTCAGGGTTAGGCTGTAGAAATGACCGGTAAATKAWTGGAAGTCAAYGCAAAGTCCCCAYGAGAATACAAGAACAAACGTGTGTGTGTGTATGATCAGTGAGCGTCTTTTACAACATTTCTTGTTAAATATTTTCTGTTTGTTTACGGGTGAAATGTCTGCCTCCAGAACATTGCTGCAGCTTGCAGTGAYAACAGCACTCTGCTGTGGACAGTACTGATGAACGATGATTATCAGAACCTTTCATTCTGTCACATGGATCTCATGGAAATGACTGGAGCTCATGTAGCAGAAACATTTCCTGAACTGGTCATCTTTACAAGCTTTCAGGCATTGCAGACTGGGTTGGGGCTTTAAAAAGCAGCATGATGTTTATTCCTCACTTCTGTGATTATAAATGCTTTTGCTGACACTTTGGTAAAGGGCGGTGTGACAACTTCTTAAGTTTTATCTGCTTTTTCTTGCTTCTGCAGATGTTTGCCAATGCTGAGGTATTTATTTTTCTTCTCTACCTTCTTTTTGCTTTAAAGTCACTTATCTATAAYGATGCTTTAATGCTAATTCCCTTATTTCTCTTTAATGCATTTAAGTTATGGTGGCGGCTTTTTTTTCTTAGATTTTTTTTCAGCTTTACTTGTAAATTATATTGTACAGTAGGCTATTCATACAGATTTATAACATAGTCATTAATAATTTAAACCAAATTTAGTGAGGGATAAAATTAAAAGAAAAAATGTGATACTTAGGCAAGAACGACACTGAAAAGTATGTCACTGGTTACATATAAGTAATATTAATAAACTTAAGCTGATCACTTTAGCCCAAGTATTTGTAATATTTTCTGTTATATAAAAGCCTTTTTTTCACTTCAGTAAAGTCAAAAACTGTCTTTTTGACAGGAGTCATTGGTGTCAAATCAACTCAAAGAATGATCTTTTATGTCTTATTTTCAGCATGATGGATTAAAGGTATAAAGCACATTATTTAACCTTCTTATTGTGCTCTGGTTTCATTGATTTAATTCATACGAGGTTGAATAAAATTGGTCACACAAGTCCGGCATGCAGACTCAATCAAACCCACGTCTGTGAACTCCTCTCTGTTGAAAAATCGAATGTTTAAACTGTGGATAACCAGATGTTAAAGCCTTTTACTTAGTGAGTAAAACATGAAGGCAGTGATTTAGACAACCRTGGTCTTGGGTAACAACAGACACCTCTGACTTTGACAAAACAGTTTTTGACACTTTAGGAACCAAAAGGATTGACTCTGTTTACATTATTATTATTTATTTGAATGGAGTTACTGAATGAGWGTTTGTTCTAACCCTTTTAGTATCTGCCCCACATCCTGATTGTTTATCTCTTCTCTTAGCCTGAAAAAACAGTTCCAGGTCCACCAGGTGCTCCTGGACCAGAGGGCCCCCGAGGGCCCCCAGGAGAAGATGGCAGAGATGGAAGAGATGTAAACATGTTCTCTTTAACTTCAAACAAATGTTTTTATTATGTTTTTTTTTTTTGAAAACTCTAACTACTTTCATTTGTCCTTTTAGGGGTTTCCAGGGTCTCCGGGCAGTCCAGGTGGTCCTGTAAGTCTACATGGCAATCACTGAAGTAAACTTGTTAGCACCATGTATTGTTGTTTTACCCCCCTGTASAACGAGGACCGTTTTGAAGTGCAAACGTTTCAACCCTAAAAATCTGGGGTTGTGTTTCTGTGAATATGTTTAGGAAGTTTTCACATTAAAACATTTTTATCTCGTTTCTACAAATATTCTTGCAAACGTTGCACTATTTATAGAGATATTTTCATCCACACATAAACCAATCCAAATACTGTTGTAACAATGCCAGGCCTTTGGTTGTACCCAGTGGTGGAAAGTAATGAATTGTATTTATTTGCATTACATAATTAAGAATGAATCGTGTGTATTTTGCACTTTATTTGAATTATTATTCCAAACTATATTTTTAATAAAAGAAAATAATAAAAAGAAAGAAAATAATAGAAAAGAACCAGCAGCTAGGGAGTACAGTGAGTAGGACAAATACAGGTCCTTCTCAAAAAATTAACAAATTGCGATAAAGTTCATTATTTTCTGTAATGTACTGATAAACATTAATCTTTCATTTATTTTAGATTCATTGCACACCAACTGAAGTAGTTCAAGCCTTTTATTGTTTTAACATTGA